GCTGGCAGCGCTGGAGGGCTGAAGAAGGCCGCGGCGCAAGCGGCCAAGGAAGAAGAGGAGCGACTTGCCCCCGAAGCGGAGGAGCAGGCTGAGCGGGAGCGTCAGGAGGCGGAAGCGGCTGAAGCTGCAGCAGCGGAGGCGGCGGCGGCAGAGGCGGCGGCGGCAGAGGAGGCGGCGGCGGCAGAAGCGGCGGCGGCGGCAGAAGCAGCAGCAGCCGCAGCCGCAGCTGAATCTTCCAAGAAAAAATCGAAGAAGAGCGCCAAGGCCGAGAAGGAGTCCAAGTCTAAGTCCAAATCCAAGGCGAAGGAGCCTGAGCCCGAGCCCGAGCCAGCGCCCGAACCGGAGCCCGAACCGGTGCCCGATGCAGGTGGGGCTGACCTGGACGACGCTATGAATGAGCTCAGTCCCGAGCAGATCGAGGAACTGCTTGCTCCTGAGGCCGAGGAGGCGAAGCCGTCGAGCGACGCCTTCAGCTTCTGGGGCGCAAAGAAGCCTTCCAAAAAAGGTATGTGGCCCAAAAAGGCAGGGGGGGGGGGCGCTGTTCATTGCATGATGGTGTGCTGTTGTCTGCTGGGCTGGTGGCACGCACCCCTGATCATCTCCACTCACCCCAGATTCTCACCGAGATGAGCTGCATCACGCCTCGGCCGTACCCGAGATTACACTGCTGACTCATCCTACCTCTAGAAGCTGCCTCGAGCGACTGGAAGGACACCTTCTCATCTTCGACCGCCGACAATGTCATGAAATCGTCTTCCGCTCGCAAGGCTAGCAAACTCGCCGACCGGCTCAAAGCCTTTGAAGCGCCCGTCGAAGAACCTGAAGTCGAAGAAGCCCCACTCGCGCCCCCGCCACCTCCAGAGTCGACCAGGGAGGAGAAGAAGCGTTCCAAGCGGGACAAGGACAGATCGCTCGTCGAGCCCGTTGAAGAAGCCAGTCATCCCAGGAAGCACAAATCTGAGCTTCCCGGGTCATTTCCCGAAGATGACGACGAGATTGTAGGCATTATCGACATGTCTCCGGGCAAGAAGAGCAGCAAGAAGAGTAAGAAGAGGTCCAAGGAGGATGTCCCACCCGAAGCACCACCTCCGCCTCCCCCTCCACCTGCGGTTCCCGACGCGCCTCAACCTTTAACGCCACCGCCCGACGATGCGAAGCCCCTCAAGAAGGAGCGCACCAAGATCAACCGCGAGGGCTCTGCCTCCTGGGGTATGTGGAACGCCGCTACGCCAGCTACACGTGACAAGGAAAGGGAGAAGGAGAAGAGACCGTCAAGAACCACGTCCGAGCGCAAGTCGAGAAGGTCGCCTACCGAAAAAGAAGAAAAGGGCTCCTCCAAGGGATCAGCATCAGACAAGGCCGAACGTTTAGACAGAGCGAGGGAGGCCCCAGGTCGGCCCAAGCTCATGTCCATGTTCAGCACCCCACCTGTCTCGCGATCCACGTCGACCCGAGACAAGAGGCTCGGTGCCAGTGCAAGGCCTTCGCGACGCCATTCCTACGATGTCGGCGGCCTTGCCTCCCCTCCGCCGGAGGAAGCCCCTCCTCCGATGGCATCCAAAGCCGCCAAGATCTTTGGCGTCGACAAGTCCGCGAGCAAACGTCGCAGGCGCGCTCCAGAGGACGACGATATTGTCATGGTGGGCGCCAATGGCGAAGATGTCAGCCCCACCAAGGAGCAACGGCGGCGGCGGACCAAGGCTCCCAAGGACGAGGACATTGTCATGGTGGATGGCGACGGTCCAGCGGAGCCCCCGCCATTGTCACGCAGCAACTCGACGGCGAAGAAGGGCTTCGGCGCCATGTTTAGTGGTTTCATGACACCAAAGGCTGAGCGCCCTGACCCGCTGCAACGGCGGAACACGTACGCGACGACGGACGACGAGGCAAGACGTGAACGTCGCAGCGAGCACTGCTGGCGACCTGAAGCAGATGAAGCGCCGTGATGATGACGATCGCGA